TGTCACCATTTTTTAGCGATACAGTTATTTTAAATTAAGATCTGTTCATTTTCTTTAAGACATAATGCTATTGAACACTTAGTAGACTACAGTATAGTGTACATACACCTTTTATATGCAATGGGAAACCAAAAGATTCATGTGTCTTGCTTTATGGCAATATTTGCCTTATTGAAGTGGTCTGCAGCTGAACCGACAATATCTCCGAGGTATGCCTGTATTTTATTCAGTAAATTCTGACTAAGAAGCCAGAGAAATATTTAACATTTTTAGAGCTTCATTCCAGATGGTTAATTTTTGTTTGTTTTAATGGCACCTTTTGCTAAGAGGGGAAATTTTAGGTTCCTGGTCGGTTCATTTACATGGAAAAGCTTAACCATGCTGGGAAAGTCATTTGTCTTATACTAACTTGTAATGTTCTGTATTGTCTTTAAGAAAGAAGAGCTGACCTTTATCATAAGGAAAAAGTTTTGTTCTTGTATGTGTGTTTTTTGGGAAGTTAATTTATATTGCTGGAATATGCGTGGATCTGTAGTATGTACAAATGTGTGAAGGATCTTTCCTTTGAACAATTAGCAATAAAAGATTCAGTGGGGCCGGGCGCGGTGGCTCAAGCTTGTAATCCCAGCACTTTGGGAGGCCGAGGCGGGTGGATCACGAGGTCGAGAGATCGAGACCATCCTGGTCAACCTGGTGAAACCCCGTCTCTACTAAAAATATAAAAAATTAGCTGGGCATGGTGGCGCTTGCCTGTAATCCCAGCTACTCAGGAGGCTGAGGCAGGAGAATTGCTTGAACCCAGGAGGCGGAGGTTGCGGTGAGCCGAGATCGCGCCATTGCACTCCAGCCTGGGTAACAAGAGCGAAACTCCGTCTCAAAAAAAAAAAAAAAAAAAAAAAAAAAAGATTCAGTGGGACACACTCACATAGACATTTATTTTCAGCCTTCAGTGTATTACTTGAAAATACCAAATTCACTTAACATTTTTAGTAAGGCTTGGCAAATACTTTCCTTAGATAATTTTTTTTTTTTTGCTATGGTGTAAGAAAAGTTTAATTATTCTTTCAAGTTGTGAGGAGCCCAAAAATGAGTATTTGAAACTAATTTAAAGAAGCCAGAATCAAAAGTTAATTTATTTCCTGGCTACTTCGTATCAGTTCAACCTTACCCAGTTACTGTAGACTCTATCTAATTATCATAATTTTATTTATGAGCATGACATTAAATTTACATGAAGTAGAAAGATGAAAATGTGACAAACTTTCAAGTACTAGAGAGGAGAAAGCAGATTGGTTACAAAAAGCAGGCCATTTGCTAATCAGCTATACAGTTCAAGAGGTGGGTAGAATGTTAACAAGACACTTTGATAATACGAAGAGGTGACATGAAAGAAAAATAGCAACAGTCTAGCAACCTTGAAAGAGAGTCTACGTTTATTCTTTAAATTGTCACTCTGTTTCTGTTTGACTATCTCCATGAGTCTCTTCCATTTCACAATTGTGTTTATATTATTTTTTGATCTTCTTTAATATGTTTTTTCATTACCACGTAGCATTAGAATGGGGAAATGTTTGAGGTGTTTGTGCGTGTGAGTACTTTCATGTTGAACATAGGGAATGTGTGTGGTTCTGGTGGTTTATCTGCTGACTTTTTACAGGATTGTTATTGAAAAAAATCAAATTTGTATCTTAACAGATATTCCTGCATTCATTTGTAACTGATATGAATATAAAGCCAAAGTTGCAGGGGCTCACACCTGTAATACCAATTGTTTTGGAAGCTGAGGCAGGAGATTGCTGGAGTCCATTAATTTGGGCAACAGAGGCCCCATCTCTACAAAAAATTAAAAAATAAGCCATGCTTTATGGTATATACCTGTAATCCCAGCTACTACTCAGAAGATTGAATCAGGATAATTGCTTGGGCCCAGGAGCTTGAAGTTACCGTGAACTATGCCATTGCACTCCAGTTGCTAAATATATGATAACTTCCTCTAGAAGTATAATAAAATGTTCCTTTTTAATTTTTTTCCTTGAAACTGGGGCAATTGATTTGAAACCTATGATCCTTTTAGGTCCATTGAGCATTTATGGTAATTTTGTTAATTTAGGAATATAAAAATATATGTTGCATGTGGATTTACTTTTTTAGAAAACTGAAGATTTACTGTATTTGAGAAGCAGCCCAGAGCATGGAAACAGAGACAATTAGAAATAAAAAGCTTTTTTTTTTTTTGTTTTTTCCCCCGAGATGGAGTCTCACTCTGTTAACCCAGGCTGGAGTGCAGTGGCATGATGTCAGCTCACTGCAATCTCTGCTTCCCAGGTTCAAGGAATTCTCCTGCCTCAACCTTCTAAGTAGATAGGATTATAAGTGTGCGCCACCAGGCCCGGCTAATTTTTGTATTTTTTTTTTTTTTTTTTTTTTTTTGAGACGGAGTTTCGCTCTTGTTACCCAGGCTGGAGTGCAATGGCGCGATCTCGGCTCACCGCAACCTCCGCCTCCTGGGTTCAAGCAATTCTCCTGCCTCAGCCTCCTGAGTAGCTGGGATTACAGGCACGTGCCACCATGCCCAGCTAATTTTTTGTATTTTTAGTAGAGACGGGTTTCACCATGTTGACCAGGATGGTCTCGATCTCTCGACCTTGTGATCCACCCGCCTCGGCCTCCCAAAGTGCTGGGATTACAGGCTTGAGCCACCGTGCCCGGCCCATTTTTGTATTTTTTGTAGAGATGAGGCTTCACCACATTGGCCAGGCTGGTCTTGAACTCCTAACCTCGTGATCCACCTGCATCATCCTCCCAAAGTGCTGGGATTATAGGCGTGATCCAGTGCACCCAGCCAGTAAAATTTTTTAAAAAGAAAAAAATCAAGTGTTAGGAGAATTAGTGATTTCTGCATTTTCAAACCAACAGAGGAAAAAAATCATTTCAGAAAAGAGTACTAGGGGTAAGGGTGGGAGGGGAGAGATTTATTCACTAAAGAAGCACTTCACAAAACTCTTTGAACACAGTGTTATGTATGTAACTTCTGTCATCTGTGGCTTTTTATTCAGTCTTTTTAAAGAGTACCCTCTGCTAGTTATTTTCTGCCTTATCTTCATGGACTTAGATATTGTACCCTCTCCTGTTATTCTAAAAGAACTGGTTTAGTTATATTTGTAGTGACTGGTGATAATAGTGTAATTTCAAGAAAATTTTTACCTTCGTCTCATGGCATAAATGCCTCCTTCTTCCTGTAGTCTGACATTGTTTTACAAAGGGGTGGTATCTCTTATTTTACAGCTAGAGATTTTTTAAAAGCCTTTAAGAGTTAACTGATACTTAAAACATAATATGTAGTTAAATATAGAAGATAGATGTCAGATCTTCCCACATTACATGAAGGGAAGAATTTAAGAGACCTTGATATTAGATAGCTTAAGGATTATGTGTCTCACTTCTAGGGAAAGGAATAAAAAAGAGAAGAGAGAGAGGGCAGACTACCTGAGACCAGTTCCCCAGACTTAACTCCTTTGCCAGTCTACCTTCACTGGAGGCCGGCAGCAGAGGGAAGCTATTTTATTTCCTACTTCAAAAGACAGCTTTAAAGTAACCTTAAAGGTCCACTCACTTGGAGGATTTAGTTGAATCATGACACACAAGACACAGAAAGTTCAAAACTGGGAAGGGAACTTTAATTTTAATGCTGTTTAATAATTGATAATGTCTTAATATTATAAAAGCGAAATTAATATTGCCTGCCTTTATTTTCCTTGCCTTTTGCCTTATTTTAATTCACTTATTCCCCAGATCTTTTTCATGTCATTCAAAAAGAGGTGGTGAATTCTAAAGTTAAGTTATTGTATTTCTTACTTTACCCTCATCTTCCATCTCTCTCCACTGCATTGGTGTGCTACTGTTACAACATTGTTGTATAGGTCTCCAGAGTACTGGAATAGGGAAATAGAGAGTGAGAAGTTGAAAACCATTTGTTAGAAAAGATTTCTAAGGCTACATCACGGATTTACAGAAGCTCTATTTCCTGTAGACTTAGTTGATAATGGGTGGTGATCTTAGACTTGAAGCGGGCAGGGGGCAGGGGATAAAAATGTAATGCTGATTCCATGGGCTGATTTGAATAGGATGCTACTGATCTCTTTTCTGCCATTTTAAACAGAGCAACTGTTGCTTCATAGAAAATGTTATTGAACAAATAAAGTGAATATAAACTAAATGAATGTATTAGGATGGAGTAACTGCCAATAAAGTTACAGTTTTTGTCTGTTTTTTAACTTTGGTTTCACTGAGTAGTCTTCTGGGCTAAACAGTTTTGTCTGTTTTAAACAATACCCAGAAGCCATTTACATATATACTCAAAAATGGTTTTTTTCATAAATAAAATTATGGCTTTTAAAACTTCATTATGAGCAGATGATCTTTAGCTAGTGTCCTTTATGTGTTACCATGAAATGAATTTTGAATATGGCTTGCTAATAGATTTGTGTAGTCTATATTCAAGCATGACTGTATTTCTTGATGTCTCAGAATAATTTATGTATAGATAATTTCTTTTTTTGTTTGTTTGTTTTTGAGATGGAGTCTCACTTTGTGGTCCAGGCTAGAGTGTAGTGGCATGATCTCCACCCCCTGTAACCTCTGCCCCCTGGGCTCAAGTGATTCTCCTGCCTCAGCCTCCCAAGTACCTGGGATTATGGGGTGGCACTACCATGCCCAACTATTTTTTGTGTTTTTAGTAGAGATGGGGTTTCACTATGTTAACCAGGCTGGTCTCAAGCTCCTAACCTCAGGTGAGCCATTCAACCTTGGCCTCCCAAAGTACTGGGATTATAGGCATGAGCCACCACACCTGGCCTAATGATTTCTTTATTCACTCAGGAACAGTAGCCTTAAGAGATGATTTAAGTTTTACTTTATCTTGAAGATAGCATTTTTAAAATCTCAATATTTTCCTTTCTTTCCTTAATGCTTTTTAATTTCTATTTTGTTCATTTTTCTAGGGTGATATACCTTCTGTTGAATACCTTTTACAAAATGGAAGTGACCCAAATGTTAAAGACCATGCTGGATGGACACCATTGGTATTTATTCTGGTTTTTATTCTCATTCTTTTTATGTTTTACAGTTCTTATAGTTTATAGTTATGTAGTTGTCTATATATCATCCTCTGCCACATATATTCTTTTTAGTCTGAAGAATTTGTTTTCATCAAGTATGAGAACATGATTACTTTCCTTCTAGCTTTTCATTTGTGACAGGCAAGAAATTGGTTACCTTTTGACAGACTAGATTTAGGAATCTACTTGTACTATATTGCAGAATTTAGCTAATGTCTGGAGATTACAGCTACAGCTGACATCAGGCTCCATTCTGTAGCACTGCATGTCACTGGAACCAAATTTCTTGGAACAAGAAGGGGTCAGAGGAACTGAGTATAGGAAAGTGATCACAAGGAAGTAATTCTTACTGAGGGTCTGTCTCAGCCTCACTTATATCCTATCCAATTGCAGAGATACAAGGCAGTAGAAATCTTTGCTTACGTTAAACGTTTTTAAAAGTCTTTGCTTATTATTAAAAGTAAAAGTGAAGCATAATCTAGAAACAGAATGACACAAATACTTGGAAACAATTGCTATGTAGGCTAATTACATTAGGAAAAATAAACGTGAGATTTGAATGCAGCCACAGACCTGTCAGCAAATGAAGTAGATACCTTCATCCTGTAAACTAGAAATTCAGCCCAGAAATTAAAAAGCTGGGACGGTTTAGTCTGGATCAGTCACTTTGCTGGTTGGACTCTACTGGTTGTCTAAGCTTTTCAAAGAAAGGTTAATTTTTTTTCTTCAAAGCTACTAACAAGTTGTAGTAAAGATTGGTTAGTGATTTAGAGAGTTTAATGCCTAATTAGGATTTCTTTCTCCTAAAAATAGACCTACAGATGTTGAGTGTGGTATCACCTATTATGAATTGAAATAGATGTACTTAAGTATAGAATGCGAGAGATCTAGTAGAATACAACATTGTTAGTAGTTCATTAGACATAAGGAAAGATTCGTACCTAAGGCATCTTTGAACATTCCATTGTTACCAGTTCAGTCATTCAGCAAGCTCTTTTTGTATTCCTACTCATGTTATTTCTCTTATTAATGACAGCAGTCATACAGCTATCTGTAGGTTCAGCAAAGTACTCCTTCACAGATACTTTGTTGCATGATATGTGTATGTACTGGTACAGATTTTTATGTATCATCTTGTTATTAAATATATAGTCTTTTTTTTTAATGTTTTAAATTTATTGTAGAACAAGGAGCTATAGTTGGTGTAAAGCTCCATTTTCTTCTTAAAAAAAAAGGTGGGCTGGGCGCAGTGGCTCATGCCTGTAATCCCAGCACTTTGGGAGGCGGAGGCAGGCAGATCATGAGGTCAGGAGTTCGAGACCAGTCTGGCCAACATAGTGAAACCCTATCTCTACTAAAAATACAAAATAAATTAGCCAGATATGGTAGTGTGTGCCTGTAATCCCAGCTAAGGAGGCTGAGGCAGGATTATTACATGAACCCTGGTGACAGAGGTTGGGGTGAGCCAAGATTGCGCCATTACCCTCCAGCCAGGGCAACAGTGCGAGACTCCATCTCAAAAAAAAAAAAAAAAAAAAAAATGTAAATGTGCTTGACCCAAGGCTCAAATGAATTGCCTTTTCTTTTTTCATGAATTACACAGATCTTTATCAAAAAAGATTAGTTAATAGTAACTTTTATTCTGTCAACAACTTAACAGCCTTCATGAGCATTTAGGTAACAGTAAATTTACTGCCTGACATTTACATTTTTCTTTTTTTTTTTCCTCGTAGAAAGTGATTTATTTAAAGCAGAGGGAGAAAAAGGAGAGAGAGCTAACAGCTAACTCTCACACTGAGAGAGAAAGAAAAGCCGCTCTCACACTGAGTGAGAAGGGTTCCCAGAGGGGGAAAACTGGAGAAGGAAAGCTCCTCTCACACTGAGTGAGAGAATCCAGAAAGATGGAATCCAGGAGAGGAAAGACAGCTTGCACACTGAGTGGTAGAAAATTGAGAGAGAGAGATGGAGTTTAGGAGATGAAAAGGAGCTTCCACACCAGGTGGAAGCGGACCACAGAGGGGAAATCTGGGAGGGGAAAGAGAGCTTCCACTGTGTGGGAGGGGATTCCAGAGAGCTGGAAATCCAGGAGAGAGAAAGATGGCTTCCACGAAGGGAGCGGTCATGGGAGGAGACCCAAACTTGGAGGCCCTACATTTGTATTTTTCTAACATATGATATTATAATATCATTCATTGCTCTTTCTTATCACTTCTTTCACTTATTTTTCAAAAATTTAATTAGCATGAAGCTTGCAATCATGGGCACCTGAAGGTAGTGGAATTACTGCTCCAGCATAAGGCGTTGGTGAACACCACTGGATATCAAAATGACTCACCACTTCACGACGCAGCCAAGAATGGGCACATGGATATAGTCAAGCTGTTACTTTCCTGTGGAGCCTCCAGGAATGCTGTGTAAGTAGGTCAACTTAAAAGTTATTTTAAAAATTGACTTATATTCTTGAATCAAGGTATGTGATGAAGCAGAGACTTTCTCAAGTTGATGACTTTCTTCTCTTTCATAACTAAAATTAGATGTGATCATCAGATTCTGCATTTATAATCAGCATTCATGCCCTTTGTCTTTTTGATACAATTGGTCCTTCATGTTCTTGGGTTTCATATTCGAGATTCAGCCAACTGCAGATCAAAAATATTGGGGAAATATTAATGACAGATTGGATAAAGAAAACGTGGTACGTATACACCATGAAATACTATGCAGCCACAATAAAGAATGACATCATGTCTTTGGTGGGCACGTGGATGGAGCTGCAGGCCATTTTCCTTAGCAAACTAACGCAGGAACAGATAACCAACTACCACATGTTCTGACTTATAAATGGGAGCTCACTGATGAGAACTCATGAATACAAGCAAAGGAGGGAACAACAGACACTGGGGTCTACATGAGAGGAGAGTGGGAGAAAGGGGAGGAGCAGAAAAAATACCTATTTCTTAGCAGGTTCAATACCTGGGTGGTGAAATAATCTGTACAGCACTCCCCCATTACACAAGTTTACCTATATAACCTTCCCAACTTAAATAAAAACCTAAAATAAAATAAAAGTTAAAAAGTAAATAGGGAAAAACAATAAAATGATCTAAAACTATAGTATAAATATTTATACAGCATTTCATACTGTTAGGTGTTACAAGTAATCTGATGATGATTTAAAGTATATGGGAGGATATGTGTAGTTTACAAGTAAGTACTATGCCATTTTTTTATAAGAGACTTGAGCAGCTGCATGTTTTGACATCACAGGGGTCGTGGAACCAATTCCCCATGGATACCAGCAGGGATGACTGTGCTGACATCTTTGGAGGAGATTCACTTCCTTAATTCAGAAACAATTGTCAAATTAATTTTGGAAGCTTTCATTTAATGGAAAAATTCACTTAGTGTTTATAGGTTGATTTATTCTTTAATAACTAATTATTGTAGAAACAATTATTTTGTATGCTTTCTAATAGTTTGGAATTATTTATTTCATTCCCATCTTATTTTTCTGTGTGTATAATATAACGACAGGTAAAGCATATAAAAATTTAATTTTGGGCAAGGGCCGTTGAATTATTTCCTAGATTTTTCACATCATTCACATGCGGTTCTGGGTAAACTTTTTGTGGCAGGACACAGAGATGCATTAGTGAATGCCAGCAGGTGGGTTTTAAAATTGCTGTTGTCAAGAGTGTCACAAGTAAATGCTGTATGTAGATTTTGTATCTTTAATCTGTAACTTGGTTCATGTCTCCCTATGCATTATTTTATTCTTTCCAGTTAGTTAGGTAGTTGAAATGAAAACGCAAGCATTGCCTCTCTGTGCTCTTTTTGCTTCTATAGGTTAAAAAAGAGCACACAATAGTCAGGCTTTCAGTGGTAACAGATGAAAATAAGTTATAAAATGCAGAGCTTCTAGGTTGGAATCTTTATTGGTAACCATTTAACATAATTGAAAACCAAATTAATAATGCAAGAATGTACCATATCTTGGTGCTGTTAGTTTCAGTAAATGTGTCTAATTTCTTTTATCTCTCATCACAGGTTATAAGATAATTGGGGCAAATTCAGGGTGTGTGTGTGTGTGTGTGTGTGTGTGTGTGTGTCTGTTTGTCTGTCTGTCTGTCTATATACATGGGCCTAACAGAGATAACTTTCTTTACAAGGACCTAACAGATACGACCCTCCTGTATGTGTAGCAAGCCATTTGGTAAAGCAAATCATTGCCTAGGTCAAGTGAAACTGATTAGTTTTCATTCTTGGGTTCTTAAATCAGCCATGACTACTTTAATGAATAGAGCACTGGTCAGGGCATTAGGGAATCTAGCTTTTATTTGTGACTCCATTATTGACTTTATAGCTTCAGGCAGGTTAATTTCTGTGCCTTGGTGTCCTCACCTATATGGGTGATGCCTGCTGTGTTTCTATTTCTTCAGAGCACAGTGAGGATTAATGAGCCAAAACACAGAGCCTGTCTTGTGGTTCGTACACCATGATTCTTCACTGCACTGTGAGGGCTTATTAATATACAAGGAGGGGCATGAGATAGTGAGTGAAGGCACAGGTGCCTTCAGTGTTGTTTTAAGTAGGCCTTCATAGTGAAGTGGCAAATTTAGATATATCTGTAGCTCAGCACTGTCTAGTAGACCTTTCTGTGGTGATGGAAATGTTTATATCTATGCTGGACATTGAGTAGCCACTAGCCACCTCTACTGTTGTACACTTGAAAATTAGCTATTGCTACTGAAGAATAAATTTTAAAAATATATTTTAGTTTAACCACATGTACCAGTGACTACTGTGTTGGACAGCTGGATATAGGGTTTATTTCTCACAAAAGAGGTTGGGACCAATATTGGATAAAGGATAGTAGGGCAGATAAAGGTGTAGATTTAATCATAGGCTACAACAGTGTGGTAGCTGTTTCTAAAAAACTCTTTGCCAGACTATTTTTCAGTACTAAGGTCTTCATACTTAAGTATTTTCCTTTGTTTTTTGCGTTTTGAAAATTTTGGTGCTCATTGTTCATCTGATTGGCTTTACAAATTTCCTAACTGGTCTCCTCCTTTTCAGATTGCTTTTCTTTAATTCACTTCCCAGACCAGCTGGAGTGCCTTCAGAAAAACACGAGTCTGGCCAAATCATTCATTTGCTTAAAACCCTTCCGTGGCTTCTTTTTAATATTTTAAAAATAAAGGCTAACTCCCCAAATGTGGTTTATAAGACCCTGGATGGTCTGGTGCCACTGTCCTCTCTGATGCCGTCTGTCTTTGCACAGCGTCTCCTCTTTTTTCCTTCAAGCATTTTTTTCACCAGCTTTTCCAAATTTTTGTTAACTTAAAATGTGCCAGGCTGTTTTACCTCCTAGCCTTTGTACATGCCCTCGCATTGTCTAGAATATTTGTTTCTGGTAGCTGGTTTCTCATTTGAGTTTCACCTGGGTTATCCTGTCCTTTTGGCCACCTCTCCTGATACGGGGCTTCTCTCCATTCATAGGACTTACTGTTTCCTACCTTCTCATGAGGTTGTATGCTCTGTGGGAGCATGTGTGTCCCCGCTGGCTCTGCCAACTGTCTAATGTAGTCTTTGCCCACGTTTGTTTATAGAGTGAAATAGTGTTTGAATGAATGAAGATTATGGTAGACTTTTTCCTTTTTTGATACAAGGTCAGATGACATGAAAATGGGAATTACCTCCTTCTGCCACTACTTTTACTGTGTGACAAGATGTCTAAAACCAAGTTTCCCTTATCTGTGTTTTTTCTGGGGTGATACAACTGGTTCCTGATAGCTCTTGCCCAGTTGGCATCCATGGCATGTTACTAATGACCGTGGCTACCCAAAGTCATTCCATTAGCCTTGACCCTCTTATGCATGCACTCTCTCAATGTTCTAGATACTGTCCTCTAGAATTAAGTAGTAACAGGTAAGAACACATGATATTTATTGCTGCCCTTTCTTCCATTTCTTAAGGAGATCCTGGGAACAGGGTCTGGAGCATGGAAACTATGGGATTCTTACTACTCTTTTTTTTCTTCCTGAAGTTCTTATTCCTTATAAGCCATTAACATCTCAGATTCTGGAGTCTGAGTTGGCAAACATGTTTCCTTTTTCTTTCTCTGCTTACTATATCTCTTTTACTCTTGGTGGAACTCTTTTCTCAATAACTACACCTAAGCTCTTCCCATCCCTAGAGAAGGGCAAGAACCAGCAAGGGCAAATGTTATTCTGTCTGTTCCTCTTTAGGGTTTGGTACTTTGACTGATGGAAGAAGTAAAGTCCTTTTTACTTATTCTAAATTTCTAAATGGCCTCCTTTAGCTCTAGAATGGACATTTTGGCTGTCTTCTTCATTACCTCAAGGCTGAAGTTTTCTCTTAGATGCCTTCTGTTCCTCTTTAGTTTTCTCATAGTCCCTCCATGACTTCTCACCTAATCATCTCCTCAGTTGTCTGGCTGCTTCTGTTCTAGGAGGAGTGAACAGACTATTAATGCACTGGTTGTAGAATGGCGTGAGGCAAGCCTTTGCAGCAGGGTGCTCACTGTAGTATGAAAATCTTGACTAAGGCTGAGGGTAAGACCAGAGGAAGTCGCAAAAGGTTTTCTGGAAAGGTAAGGTACGGGTGCTAAGGTACTCAAGGCCAGACTGCTGCTTCATTCATTCTAGGAACTTCTATTAGTGATATAAGTGGAATAAAAGGGAGGAAGAGGATGAGATAAGAGGCCATGGCAGGGACTTTAAAAGGCTGTGTGTTCTAAAAAGAGTGCCGATTTTAAGTTGAAAACCTCCTCCTTCACACTGGGCCAGGAACTCAGTTAAGAAGTTTGTCCAGTAATCTAGGAAAGGAGAGATGAGAGTCAAAGTAGTGATAGGAATGGTGGGAGCGGGGTGGAATGGAGAATTAGCCACATTTATTAATTTGTTCTTTCAAATGAAGTTTGATTTACTTTTTATAGTTTTGAAAATACCATATTAGAATGTTTTGAAGTTAAGTACATAGATTTTAGTAGAATACCAATTAGGATGTTGATTGAAATTGGATAGGTATATAGGTTACAGTGGATTAATAAAGTTGGTTTCTATCAAGTGGATTGATAAACTTTACTTGGTGTCGTGTGTTATTCTTTAAACAAAACAAATACTTTACATCAGTTTACAAGGATTTTATTTAGGAATTTTGCATTTTAAAAGTTAGAGTGGTTTGTGATTTTATCTTTCATTTTTTGCTCTTAGATTTTTGATATCAAAATTACACCCATACCTTCTAAAAGTTAATCAGGACCAAGATACGTTTCTCCATTTGTTTAAGCATTCTGTTTTTTATACATAAAGACACACACACACACACACACACACACACACACACACACACAAGTAAAGTTTTTAGTCTGTTTCGTATGTATGTATATGTG